TAAAAATAAGGAATAAAATATATAGCTTAGATAGCTTATAAAATAATATAGAATATCTATTTTAGTTAAATTATATCTATTTTTTAAGTATTTTAAATTCAAGCTTAAGATAGGTAACTTTTAGTGTAAAATGGTTAAATTGTCAGAACTTTTACGCACCCACTATACCTTATATCTAAGGCCAGAACGCCAGTGCTTAGCTTTAAGCTTATACATATATTATGTTATTCCCCAGGCCTTTTTCTCCCGCACATTTCTCCTCCGTCACCTCTGTTGATTCAACTGTTTAGCACTTGGCCGGCCTTTCACCCTTATAGCAAGATCTACAATGGCCACCCATAATACAGCCAATCCCAACTCTGTTAAAAGATCTCGCATTGGGGAACGCACTCTCTTAGCCTGCAGCGGCTGCAAACAAAAAAAGCTCAAAGTATAGCCCTTATCTCACCCGCCGTCCCTTCTAATACTCAGCAGTGTGATGGAAAAATCCCAAAATGCCAAAATTGCGAGAAGAGCGGTAGAGGTAAGCCTTGATCCTCTGGCCTTGGCCTGTCATCTCGCTCACATTTGGGCGCAGAATGTCTCGTGGAAGATCCCGCGACAGGGCTCTTTCGACCAAGGGATTATATGCAGTCACTCGAGACACGAGTCGCTTATCTAGAGGGCTTATTGCAGCAGGCGAGACCCGATGTCGCTCTGGATCATCTTATGGGCCTCGAGAAGGATTCTTCTAGCTTCTCTCCTTCGGCAGCGACGCCATTCGTGGGCCCGTCTGAGTCTGAGTCTGCAGGCAACGGTCAACGAGACGCGTCGGCGGAGGCAGAAGATGCAAGGGATCAACTATCGACTGACGTGGCTTTACTATGCCTGACTACTGCCAGCAAAGAGCCTCATTACTTCGGTCCGTCCTCAGCCGTATCATTCTCGCGTATCATTAGTACAGCCATAGATCTTCCAAAGAGATCGCAGGCGAGTACTATTCGGTTCGAGCATGGCGGCTTCTTAGATTGGAATTGTCCTCAGCCGTTTGCCGTTAGTTTCCCGTCCCCGCCTCTAGGTACTGCTCTGTCACAAGCGTATTTTGGAAACATTCACGCGCAGTATCCCTTTCTTCATGAGCCAACCTTTCGCTTCTGGGAAGAGCAGTGCTTCAAAGCAGACCTCTCGGGGAACCTTTCTGCAGCTGGAGATATGGCGCAGTTCTTTGTGTGGATGGTAAGCACGCTGTCCAACATAGCCTCGATTTCTGACAGCGTTCTAGGTCTACGCAACAGCGTCCCTGGCTTTGGGCCCAGCTCATTATGACACAGCTGAGTCTTACTACAAAATGGCCCTTAAACATCAGCCCGTCATTCTTGAACTTGACAGCATTGAGTCCATACAAAGTCTCCTGTCGTGCGCAGTATACTCTATAAGGTCTCCGGCGGGAGGAAGTCTATGGTGAGATTGGAACACTTTTTTCAAGCAAACGTTTTGTCTGACCGCCCTTAGGAAGTCGTCTGGCCTTGCCATAAGATATTGCATACAACTTGGCTATCATCGAAGCGCCTCCAGGTTCCGGCGAAATGCTAACCCTTTAATCGCTGAAATGTCCAAGAGATGTTTTTGGGTCGCCTACGATATCGATCGTGTGGCTTCCTTTATCCTCGGTCGCCCTGTTGGTATACCAGATGACTGTATTGATGCCGAAGTGAGCATGTGGCGTCGCTGCTCTCCAGTTGACTTGCTAACCCACCAAACAGCTGCCCTTGGATATTGATGATGACAAGATCAACGCGCTAGGTTTGTCACAAAATCCACGCGTCTCTCCCAATGAGCCGCCTACAAACATGACGGGCGCCATCCATGTCATAAAGCTACGTCGTTTGTGGTCCAAAATAGGCAACACTATATACCCAGCGATGACCCAGTCGCCCGTCAACCAGGAAGTAACCAAGAAGCCACTCATGGATCAGCTGAGAGCAGAGCTAGAAGCATGGCACTCTGAGATCCCTTACGCACCAGACACGACAGGCTTGGATCCACTATCTGTCTTCGCATCGCGCGAATGGTTCCGACTGGCTTATGACCATTCAATACTTATATTGTACAGGCATTGGATTACTCATAAGGCTCTACCTGGCGAAGAAGATTCTGTTGAGGAAGCGTTGGAATGCTGCATGCAGAAAGCTAAAGAGCTATGTCTTCTCTACCGCAGGCTCTTCCAGTACCAATCATTGCAGTTTACGTGGGGGTCGCTTCATATTCTCTTTCTTGGAGGACTCACGTATCTATATTGTATCTGGAAGTCCGCCAAGGTACGACATGTGACCAAGAGAATGGATATCATCAACACATGCATGGCTTGCAATACTGCGTTGGTTATCATCGCAGAGCGGTGGAACAAAGCTGTGCCTTATCGAGACATCTTTGAGGTTTTGTCAGAGAGAACTATTAGCCTCGTTTGTGGAGATGGCAGTCTATCACGAGGCGCAAATGAAGAGTCAAATGCATCGGACCGGAATCAACCAATTGAACCTCAGGCCGTCGGAGATTGGGCCTTGGAGATTGGAGCCGATGACATACCAGTTGATTCGGAATGGTTCGTTCTAGAGTTGCTTCAGGGGATGAGTAACAACGAAGCATAGGTAGTTGTAGATTATTCTAGAGTAGTGATCTTCTCGCTGAAGTTATGCCAGTAATCGAGTCGGTGAGAACCACATTCTTCAACGCCTTGGCGCTTTTTGAACCCTCCATAAGCACATTCACGTGCTCTACAGATGCAGGGCTACGGAATCGCCACGCGCGAACAGCTGGCCGGTCCAGTCCTACTCCTTCAATGATATCCACGACCCAATTCCCGATGTTGGGCAGGAATTTAAAAGCATGACCGCTCCCGCCGGTGACTACCATCAAACCTTGTCGTCCCGGCACACGATCTATCACAAAGTGATTATCAAATGTATCTGTATACCAACAGAGCCTTGTAAAAGCAACGTCGCTAGCCTCCTTGAGGACCTCAGGCATGTGGCGGGCAACAAAAGACCCAATGGTATCCATGGCTTGCCTGGGAATTTGCGTTACCTTATCCCCCTCAGACCAGCGCGTCACAGGCACGCTCCTCTCCTTGCCGTCTGGCTGCATTTGTGGGTTCGTGTATTTCGTCCCTCTGTAGCCGATCTTGAGGTGACCTTCTGCATCGACAGGAAATCCATACAAACCTCCCCGAGCCCCATGTCTCATGTTGTACATCCAAGTCGGGAACCTCTTAGGAGAAAACTGGCCAAAGATTGGAGAATCTAATGGGATTTTGAAGACGACGACTGAACCAGCCGTCGCCTCGCAGAGATAGTCGAGCTCGGGAACAAGAAGTGGTGTTTGCGGACCGCAGGCCATGATGGTGAGCTTGGCGTGGTGTTCTTTGTCATCCTTGGTGCGAATCCCAATGATATCTCCTCCACGCTTCAGGAACGAGTGAAAAGCTCCGGCGTCTTGACCAAAAACGAACTTGACGCCATGCTTGCGAGCCTTGTAGAGGGCAAGACGACACGACTTATTAGCAGCGACAAATCCACCGCTTGTATCAAGGATGCCCGCCATGGAGTTTCCCCGAGTACAGGCTTTGAATTGATCACAATTAAAACCGAGATCGTTGGCTGTGCGCACATCCTCAGCAGCAGTTGTCAAGAGTTGATTCGTCAAATGCAACTTCTTGGCGTTCTGGACACTTGCTTTTTCGAAGGGAGGTAACTCGTCGCCTTCATTGAAGGAGATGGCTCCGTTGTTATAGAAGACTTTATCGCTCGAACTCATGCCGGGTGGCACTTCTCCGCCAGCGAGGTCGGCGTTCCACTGATTCCACATTCTTATTGCCTCGACCGAGAGCTCTTGATACTCGATCTGGGTACCGTAGGATGATCTGATGATCTTGTTAAGATCTTGAACGTGTTAGTCATAGGGGCCCAATAGCTCTAGGCCGGAGTGCTACTGACCTGCCGAAGCCGCATCTGAGCCATTCTGATAAGAATAGAGACTTTTATCGTAGTCTTGTTTGTCGTATACAATGATATTGCTGTAGCCTCTCTTGGCGAGATGCAGAGCTGAGCTGAGACCAAAGATGCCTGCCCCCACGATCACAACAGGGTCTTTTTTCTCTAGAAAGGTCGCCATGGCAAAAGCGTGCTGACCTCTATTGTCACCAACGTGTCTATCTGGCTGTCGCCCGTGTTAAATTGCCAGACCAAGCTAGCTCCTGTCGGTGGGGATTACTGATAGGAATGCGGAGGCTTCACTAGTCCACTTTCAGACGAACCTGATAAGGTCAGTGGAACAGATGAAAAGCCACTCGGTGGATTCCGAGCAAGATATACCTCGCTTTAATCTCTATCGAGCCTAGCCTCGGAAGAATCCAGCTCAGCGATAACAACGTCGGAGCGAGATAACCAATCTAGGGTAGTCTAGACAGTCCGTCGCGTGACAGGGCAAGCTTCAACACTTTGGTTTATAGAACGAACATTACAGCAACCGACGCCATGATATATTCTGAGATGAATCCCTGATAAAAGGTTAAGAATAAATAAGTATCTTCTTAGTCATATTCTCAAGTCCCGTTCAACTTATCCCTCCAACAAAAATAGCAATTGCACTTCCTGCAATATGCATCTCGCACGATATCTTAGCGATTCTTCACTCGGCAAACATGTTCGCAGCATTCGAAACTCGCCTCCAGAGGTTATCTACAACCGTCAGCTTCTAATGTCGTCGGCTCTCTATGCTATGTCCGGCTTGTGCATCAGTTCGTTCCCTCAACAATCGGAAGACTGTCTCTAACCCTTTGCAGCATGGGATCAAGGCTCTAGCTCCGTCGTTCCGTCTCTCCCAGGCTTTTCAAAGGCTTTCGGCATTACCTCAGCTGCGAATCCCAGCGAGGTCGCCAACTTTATATCTTTCGTCTACCTGACAGCTGGCGTCGGATCCGCCCTGTCATTCTTCATCAACGATCGAATCGGACGCCTTTGGTCACTGCGACTCTACTTTGCTATTTGGATTATCGGTCAGCTCATTGCAACATTCTCTTATGGAAACAAGGGTGCTCTGTATACCGCCCGCTTCGTTTCTGGACTTGGCATCGGTCCTTTGACCGTCACAGGCCCTATGTCGATTGTTGAGATTGCACCGACTGAGATTCGCGGCCTCTTGACCGTATGGTTTAGCGTTGTTATGCTCCTAAGCTTGACTGTCAGTACCTTGACCGTATATGCTTGCTTCCTCCACCTACCTGCCTCTCATCTTCAATACCAACTGGTTTGGTTCCTTCCAACCATCATCTGCGGCATCATCATTGCTGCAAGCTTCTTTTGTGCCTGCGAGTCCCCACGATGGCTCATGCTGGTTGACCGTAAGGAAGAAGCTGTCAAGACCCTGGTTACTCTCAGAGGTCTGCCAGCTGACCACCCCCGCGTCGCCGGAGAAATTGCAGACATTGAGCACCAAATTCAAGCTGAGAAGTCACGATATGCTTCAGGGGGCGGGTTGAAGGACATCCTGAGAGAAACCTTTATGGTGCCTGGAAACCTTCGGAGAGTTCAACAATCTTTGATCTCGTACCTTTTGGCTCAACTGTCTGGTGCAAACTCTGTTACCAGCTACCTGGTGCCGATTCTCTCGTTGATGGGAATAAATAGTGCTCATGGCAATAACCTATTCCTGTCTAGTATGTACTCCTTGTCTAAATTCTTTTACACACTCATCGCCTCCTTCTTTTTCATTGATGCTCTGGGCCGTCGGAAGTCTCTCTTCATTGGAATTACCATTCAGTTGATTTCTGATGTCTACCTCGGAGCGTATATCAAAAGTCACCAGGACGGTTCTGTCGCTCCAGGTGCTTCCACCGCCGCGATCGCAGCCATATTCATTCATGGATTTGGCTATGCTGTTGGTAAGTCCTTGCTCAGATCCTTTTGATACCTATCGTGCTCACAGTCATCAATCAAGGCCTCCTAGTTCTTCCATATGTCTTTGGGGCAGAGCTCTGGCCTAATAGCATTCGATCGTTTGGCTCGGCCCTCAGCCAAACCTTTCACTGGCTGTTCTATTTCGGTATCAACCGGGCAACCCCTTCGATTCTCTCTAGTATGCACAACTGGGGAGCCTTCATTTTCTTTGCAGGATGGTGTCTCGTAGCACTTGCCTATGTCTTCATTGCTGTCCCTGAGACTGCAGGGTTGCCTCTCGAGCACATAGACGCTTTGTTCGAGTGTCCGTGGTGGCAAATTAGATCAAAAGCCAAGACGCTCCATATCACTACAATCTCGGGCTCAATCGTTGATGAGGAGAAGTGAGTTTTACCTCATGAGCACGTATATCAAGGCAGTGGCGCTTACAATGTTAATCGGCAGTCCAGAGAGCGTTGATTCAAAGTACGAGCAAATCGCGACAACAAGCAAGCAGACTGATTCTTAAGATTCATCAGGTTGTTATGGTTCCAACTTCATACAGATAGTACACAAATTCCTAGTCGTAAATTGGACAATAGGATTGCCGAGTAGGGTGTTTGGAACTATGAATAAGGTGTAGCATTGATCATTTCAATTAATTGATCTATTCTTTGTGGTTTTAGATGCACAAATGTATGGGCCAAACCAGAGCCATACCTGTATGATACTCTACTGCATTCTTCCAAGGCTTATGCTACGTGACAACGCTTAAGAGAATCCTATTAATGAATACAGCCAGTGAGATTGTTTTAAACCAATGCTTCCAGAACTTCTCGTTATGACTATATTTACTGTTTTATAATCGATCCAGGAAAGCACTATTTGGGTAATTATCAACGAGATACACTAATGACGTTAGTTCTCGCCCTGACCAATTTCTATTACTGAGTACTGACTGAACGAGGGCAATCAATATCGATCTAACTCTCGTATATTCCGCTCAATTACAGGCTAGCTCTCAAATGGTTTGCGTTTACAGGGCTGTTGGCTATGCCATTCTTGAAAAACGCTCTGATGTTCTCAAAACATTCTCTCTCAGCCTTCTGAAACGCAACATCCGTCAAACCGCCGAGGTGAGGTTGAACAATGACGTTATCCTGGTCCAAAAACCAGGGATCAACGGTTGGCTCATTCACCAGAACATCAAGACCAGCTCTTGCAATCTTGCCCGATTTCAATGCCACCTTGAGAGCGGCCTCATTGACAATAGCTCCACGAGCTGTGTTAATAAAAAAGCTTCCATCCCTCATGGCATCAAATTCTGCTGGACCTATCAAGCCAGTCGTCTTTTCATTCAAGGGGCAGTTAATGGACACGATATCAGACTGAGATAGGAGTTCGTGGAGGGAAGAGCAGTATGTTGCATCGTACTTTTGTTCCAGCTCGTGAGAGAGTTGGCGACGGTTATAGTATTTAATCTTCATGTTGAAAACTGCGGCCTTTTTGGCGAGATACTTTAATCCTCAGTTAGCTAACGAGTGCTAAAAGCCAGAAGGTAGGATGATTATGCGCACCTTTCCGATGGACCCCATACCGACGATACCAAGCGTCATGTTGGTGGGATCACGAGCTGGAATGAGCGAGCCAGGCTCTCCTCGCCACTTGCCTGCCCTTGCCGTGCGCTCAGCCTTGGAAGTGTTTCTGAGAACTGCCAGGATGAGAAATATGGCCATGTCTGCTGTCGCCTCTGCAACAGCATCGACTGAATTGCAGAAAAGAATGTTGTTCTTGGACATCCAATCAACATCAAACTCATTGTATCCAGCAGATGCAGACGTGATGATGCGGCAGTCGGGAGCCAACGACTTCAGAAGACCCTCGTCGAAAGGCTCAAAAGGCGGCGTGCCCATGCGAATGACAAAAGCATCGACAGGACCCTTTTCTTTGATCAACTCTGGCAGAAACCGCTGAGTCTCGGCGCGATCATTGGCCTCAAGCACGTCAAAGTCATGGTCCCGGCCAAAGGCTTCAAGGTAATCAGCGCCAGCGAATTTAGGCGCTCCCAGGCTAACAACGTGGGGTCTCTGGGAAGTGCGGCTTGGGGACATGATGGATGAGAGTACGGACTGAATGTAGAAGAGCGGTGCGACGGCCACGGTATCGCGATTTGACCAACTAACTATATGAAGCGAGACGGGCCATCTTGGATGTCTGGTAAATTCATGACTCCTAAAGCAGTAAAGATTGACAAGGAAACCTCCGAAGGCAGCTCGAACCTCCCGGTAAGCCCCGTGATTGGTGAAGAACGAAGCCCCGCACCACTAAGCCAACCCGACCCAGGCGATGACTTTCTTTCCAGATGAAATAACCGGGTGTAAGTAGGGACGGGATATCTGAGCCTCACTGTTCAAAAAAGCATCCAAGAAGCGATAATGGCTCGAGAGTATACACATTCAGACCCGCCGTTGGGCTTTCTCGCTGTTGAAGTTGACATTCACCGTCCCCCAGGCGATCCCTTCAATCAGAGTACATGGCCCTTTCCCCTCATCCGCGAAAAGGTGATAGGCACTTCAGAAGCTCAAATTGTCACCAATGGCAACTACGAAGATGCTTTTATTGATCGTTTTGTGCAAGCCGCGACAAGACTCGCAGAGAGAGGGGCTGTCGGCATCATTACCAGCTGCGGCTTCTTGGCCGCTGCCCAGACCAGGTAACCCGATTTCCAGCCTGGTCTTGTTAGTCCACCACCCGCTGAACAAGTCAGATTAGCAGCACTGTCCCCCATACCTGTAGCTACGTCGGCCCTCGTTCAGGTTCCCAGCCTCCTGGCCATTTCCCCTGTTAACAGACCTATCGGGGTGTTGACCTATGACAGTGCGAGACTGAAAAGCGCTCACTTGCTGGAGCTGGGCATTGATTCTAGCCGTGTCCGTGTATGGGGACTCTCGGATGACAGCCATCTCAGGGACGTTTGCGCGCGTGGAGCGAGCTATGACGCCGATCGGCTTGAGAGGGAACTCGTTGCCGAGGCCAAATCGCTGGTACTTCAACATCCTGACGTCGCCGCAGTGGTCTTGGAGTGTACAAACATGCCACCTTATGCAGATAGGATTCATGATGCGATTCAAATACCGGTATACGACGTTTATACAATGGGTATGTGGTTCTACTCCGGGCTGACGAGACGGAACCCGTCGTCGTGGAAAGCGTCAGATGCGAGAGACACATGAAAATGACAACTAGTACTCCCTAATCGCTATTTCCACAGTTCTGTCATACGTGAAAATCTCTATCATTGGACTAGTAGGCTGATTTATACTGAATTTTGTTTACTTAGCTTCCCGCGGCTCCGGAGAATGTACGCAATACTCCATTAGTTCATTGGAATGCTGCAATATCACGGTGACTAGAGCATGGTGATGCCATTACATACAGAGCTACTAAGAAATCTTTGAGGCACTCTGCTTCAAAGGAAGAAATAAACATTCAATGTAATAAGAGGATAAAGATGAAGGATGTCTCCAAGAATTGAGCATTCTATTGCAAAAAGTCGCCCCCAGACCTAGCTAGAATGTATTGGTATTCTGGCTCGAACTGCATGTACATAACCTCTGGGGTTCCAGTCCCATCCTTTGTGTACTGAGCCTCTTCGTCACCCACAAACGTCTTTTGCAACCCCGAGCCGGTGATCGATGCTTCAACCAGAAGCTGTGTCTGACAAGCTCTCTCCAACGCGATAAAGAAGGCAGCTGCTTCAGCAATAGTGCCGCCCGATGTCAAGATACCATGATTTTGTAGTATCAGGTTCTTTTTGGTCGGACCCAACGTATCAGCAAGTCGCAGACCCTCCTCTTTAGCGAATACGACACCACCGAAGTTGGCATATACCGCAAGGTCGTTATAGAACATGCAACTATCCTGATTCAACATGTCTATTGGCTTCCCAAAGGTGGACCATGCGCGGCCATAGGGGCTGTGGAAGTGGCATGCAGCATTAATATCAGGCCGTCGTTTATGGATAGCTGCATGGATAATAAATCCGGCAGTATTCACTGGCCTGTCTGCACCACCGATACGTTCTCCGTCTTCATTTACATGAACCATGTCGGACACCTTCAAGAGGCCGAAATGGACTCCGTAGGGATTCAGCCAAAATGTATCTGGCTGAACCGGGTCTGCTCTATAATTTAGCTTATCAGTGGCCTAGAGTGGGCTATACCAACCTACCTCTGAGACTGATATGGCCACTCCCTCCATCAGCGAAGCCCAATCTCGCAAATATGCGAAAGGCGCCCGCCATTTGCTCCAATTGCCATCGTCTTTTAGCTTCGGGGGTGCTGAATTGTGGAATTTGATGGAGTCTATCTTTGGGTTGACTTGTAGACAGGGAAACCTTGGAGGTTGTCGTGGCAGTTGTAGAAGACATGATGTATGCTTTGTTGTGGCGCTGAAGTCGATGTGCTTGACAATGCCTGAACCATTGTCTTATACCATCGGTAGCGCCTCATTTGGTGGGTTGCTACACTAGGACGCCTTCGGTAGCCGCCGTCATTGGCTGATGCGGTTAATTTAACCTTACCCACCCAGTGAACTTGTACACCCTCGGCACTATCCGCAGCATCATACGATGTAAGTTTTAAACAATGAAAGACGATATGGAATCTGATATTATATATGATATATGCGCGGCGACTGCCATAATTGATTCATTCTAGCACTGGCTATCATTACTCTTTATCCCCCTTTCCTCTTGTTCACTATAACTAAAATGCCTGCCATCAATGCCATATCGATCCCGGTTGAACCATCTCTCATGTATCGAGGTGATGATTTTGCAAGCCCTGTGGATGTTCGAGCAGCCTTCACCTCGGCATTGTCAAAAATGTACCGAAATGAAGTGCCCTTGTATGAGAATTTGGTCCAAATCGTCCATGCAGTAAATACGGACGTGCTTTCTGAGCATCCGGACTCGATGAAGGATGCTCTACTGTCTCAAAGACTTGATCTAGAGAGGCATGGTGCCATCAGACTGGGTACCCCCTTTGAGCTACGGACTATGGCCCGCCTCTTTGCCATTCTTGGTCTGAAGGCAGTGGGCTACTACGATCTTTCTGTCGCTGGACTACCCATGCATGGCACCTGCTTTCGTCCAGTTGGCCTAGAATCCTTGAATCAGAACCCTTTCAGAGTCTTCACCACTTTGCTCAGACCTGAGTTGATCGTCAATGATGAAACTCGTGAGCTTGCATTAAAGTTGTTATCACGACGCCATATCTTCAGTCGCAGACTTCTGGAGCTGATCAGTTGTGCCAAGAAACAAAACTGGCACCTGAAGATTTGTGAAGTCGAGGAATTCATTCACGAGGCTTTGAAAACTTTCAGTTGGATGCCAGAAGCATCGGCATCCGAAGAAGAATACAGAAAGCTGTCCAAGGAGCACCCTATCCTTGCCGACATCGCCTCATTCCAGACTACGCATATCAATCATTTAACCCCTCGAACATTGAACATTGCGGCAAGTCAAGTGCAAATGCGAAAGCAAGGCCTTCAAGTCAAGGATCGCATCGAGGGTCCTCCTCCACGTCAATGCCCGATTCTCCTCCGTCAAACGAGCTTCCTGGCACTGGAAGAACAAATCAGATTCCGCGATAACCATGGGACTCTTATCCAAGGAACTCATCGAGCTCGGTTTGGAGAGATTGAAGAACGAGGAGCCGCCGTGACAATTGCGGGGAGAAAGCTTTACGATGAGCTGTTGACCAAGGCAACAAGCACCATCTGTAAGAGTTCAGGTGCACAGGGCCCTGGAGCAATGGATGAGGTCATGCGTGATGCCTTTAAAGCCTATCCCGACACGTGGTCAGAACTACGTAAGCAAGGCCTCATTTACTGTACTTATCACCGTACAGGTACAGAAAGCTTTGATATCACAAGGACGCTATCCCTAGAAGACTTGGTTGACCGGGGACATCTCAAAGCCAAGCCTATTACATACGAAGACTTTCTCCCATTCTCTGCAGCAGGTATCTTTGCATCAAATCTAGAATATGGCCAGGACAAGCCTTCACAGGCCAATGGGAATCCTAATCAGCAAGGCTTTGAGAATGCTTTGGGATCTGTATTATTGGACCCTGAAGCGTTGTATGCAGACATACAGCGAGAGAGTATCATGAGATGCGGTCTAGCACCTGGGGTGGTTACTTACTAATTATTAGAGATTTGAGGTGGTTTTTAATGTATGCAACCTGAGTACATTATAAGAATAAGACCATGTATATTTCGAAGGGGCGGGGAAGTTCTACAAGGTCGATTCAGTCAGAGGGATTCGGAGCCATTCTTTGTTCCCTGAACCGGTCGCTGCATGCAGCAAGTGAGGCGCACAATAATCCCAATTGCCGTTCTGCTGAGCAAATTAGTCAAGCAGGGCTCGGACTGGGGAGTATTGGAGCAAGCCTCTCTAGTCCTGTTGCGATGATGATAGGGTCACGTATTTTATTTGGCTCTATGTAGAAGCATGTTATGGAAGCGACCTGGGACATCAGTCACTTTGACATCCTGAATTTTCGCATGGCAATAATGAAGCTATAAATGATGAGACTTTTGTCCCTGGAACCAGGATTTCAAGAGGGCAGCCGCTCAGTCGAAGAGCATGGCAAAAAGAAAGGTCACTGTTATTTATTTCAAGTTCGACTTGATTAAGTAGTCATGCCGAGTTTACCTTCTCGAGCTTTGATGACGGCGGTGCTGGGGGAGCTGTCATAATTATAGCCTTGTGAGCAGCGGCTTCAACGTTCCAGGCTGATGACGTAGTGGCAAATGGAAGAGGGTTGGCCAGGCTCATTTTACCGCTCCCTCGGGTGATAAAAGTAAAAACTTTTGGGATGAAGAAAAAAGGATTTGGGTTGCTCGGGTATCAGTAGGTTGTCGGGCTGGAAGCGTCGGGTTAGGTGCAACAATAGCTAGCCCCGCGGGCGTGAGAGGCAGCGCAGGAAGTCAGCATAACGTAACCCATGTCAGGCATATTTACGTCCTTCCTGCACACGAGAGCCGATGTCGCTCTCTAACGATCACGCTCTTATGACTTTATTACTCACCTTTGAGCTAATGGGAGGTTCCCCCTCGCAAAAGGAGTCTGTCATCTACCATCCTTCGGGATCGAGGTGTGCGCCCTCTGACACCATGTTTGATAAAACTCTCCTGATGCATTTAATAAATTACCTCCTTTCTGAGCCACTCTTACTGCCGTCGTCTATTCAATTACTAACCCCCTCCCTCTGTTATTAGTTGTGCGCCTTGGCAAGCTGTGCCATGTAAGCCGGATGATTAATCTTCCATTCTGTACTGCAGCCGATTGGCCAAAGCCTGATATTAGTCATTTATGCCTCATTACTTACAGGATGCATTTCATGCCGGTACCCAGAGTTTGTCCCTTCTCCTCGATTTTCTTTATATCACCAGGTTCAGTCCACTTCAATTTCGCCCCTATATCATCATGATTTCTAGCAACAATAGTGTTTGGGTCGTGACTGGCGGCAATAGAGGCATTGGCCTTGGTTTCGTTAAAGCCCTCCTTGCTCGTCCCTCCGTCACTATCATCGCCACCGTTCGTAACGACCAAGCTCGTACAGCTCTCGAAGATGCTACTATGGACCTAGTAAAAGGTGACGGCGCGATCTTGAGGATTGTCCGGTTGGATTTCACCACCGCGCTCTCCCCTGACCAGATTTCCAAACTTTTCGACCTTGATCACGTTGATGTTCTTATCAATAATGCTGCCGCCAGCTACAAATCCTATCCTGTGCTCGAAATTCCGACCGATGACCTCCGCTCCGCCTTCGAGATCAATACAATCAGCCCGCTGACGGTCGTCCAAGGGCTTTGGCCCTTGTTGCAAAAGTCATCTGCTCCCAAAGTAGTCAACGTTTCATCATCTGTTGGCTGTATCAACTACCATGAAGTAGTCGCTGGTGCATATGGACCCAGCAAGGCTGCATTGAACTGGCTTACGCGTGCTCTGCATTTGCAGAATAAGAACTTGGTGGCCTTTGCACTTCACCCTGGATTCGTTAATACGGAAATGGGCGAATCTGCTGCTACGGAGTGGGGATTTCCTCATGCTATGCTCGAAGGTGTCGAGGAAGCGGTGAAGGGAAGTCTTGGAATTATTGACAGTGCTACGCGGGAGAGTGTCTCTGGCAAGTTTATTAGTTCCAAGGGACAGGAGCTTCCCTGGTAAGCCAGCTCCCTTTGAAACGGATTTGTACACGCCTCAGGGAAGGTCTGTAGAAAGTTAATTTGGCTATACCCTCAATATAATCACGATGATGTTTCAGCTCTTTATCGCGTTGCTCTAGACTTTAATGCTACTACTACATGGATATATTAACACTCTGCACCCCTAATGACCATACCGCTGTTCCTATGCATGTGATTCGACAGTAGATCGACTATCGTCCTGTAGCCCCTTCTTACAGCTATCGAAAGTGCTGTATCACCTCTGTTATCAACAGCCTGTACATCAGCCCTGCCTGTCTTGAGAAGTACCTTCATGGCTTCCTCGGCACACGTTTCAGCAGCGTATATCAACGGTGTCCTCCCCGAACCATCCTTCTTGTTGACATCGTACTTAAAAGATTCGTGAAGTCTATTGATTGCATCAAGATTGCCCATTCCGATAGCCCACCAAAACAATTTTCGTGAAGTGTCGTTGCTTTCTCTATAGATAGAGAACCCTTTCCGACTGAGTAGTAGCAGAACCATTCTATGCTTGCTATAGTCCAGAGCCCACGACAAGGCCGTTCGTCCCAAGTTGTCGGAGAATTGAGGATCAACTCTAAAATTGCCCAGAAGAACCTTGAAAATGTCCTCTTTCCCCCGCTGAATAGCCCACATGAGTGGTGTTTGTCCTCGAAGTGTCCGATTGGAATCAACCATGCTCTCGTCAAGGATAAGTTTAATCATCCTTAACCTCTCACCTTCTATAGCCCACCAAAGAAACTTCTCCATTTCATCCCTTAGAAGTATCATCTCATAATCAAAATCAGCCTGGGGCGTAAAACAGTACTCATGGTACTCATTCATGATAGATTGTGCAGAAGAGAATGCTAGATTTTCCAAATCTTCCTGATTACCATCAATCATTTCTGTTTCAAGCAGTAGCTTGACAATACCAAGACACCTAAGATCAATGGCGACTAAGAATGGAGTGTAACCATCTTTATTTTTGATGCTGATATCAATCTGGCCTGTGCGGAGAAGGAGATCGACCATGCCTTCATCTTCGTAGTGAACTGCTATTAGGAATGGTGGATCATAGTCGCCCCATCCTTGACTGGCCAGTTTTATGACGTTTGCGTCCCTGCGTAGTAAACTGTCCACAAATTGGAGTTCTTTCATCCTGACAGCTTTGTAAAGCAACTGGTGCAATTTCAAGACTCCCTGGCCCTCTTTCACAAATAACAGTGCAAGGTCGATTTGATCATATTGTATAACCTTCTCAAGGGTTGTAGAACTGTCAAAATCCGCTAAGAAAATGGTCGAAGGCGAGTCCCGAAATAAGACCACGGCGATATCGTAGTGAAAGTTTTCAATAGCTACCAGTATTGGGGCCTTATCATAATGACCTCTTGTGTTTGCGGAAGCACCGTGGGACAATAAAAGACAGACCACTTCTAATCTACCTCCGCGTGTAGCGACCGAGATTGCCTCCTCAAGTTCCTCATCCTCATCCTCCTCATATTCATCTGCATCTTCATCGAGCCCGTTCAAATTGTCAATCTCGACACCTCTGTGTTTCTTTGTGTTGCCGCCACATTCAAGCAGAGCCTTCAAGAGTTCGTGTAAGATGTGAGGCTGCTCACTGGTCCGATTTAAACATCGCGTTGTAAAATAGACAGCACCGTCGAGGTCTGAACCCTCTTTTATGAGCCGATATACTAGTGCCTTATCCTCTTGACTTATGGCATAAAACAGCAGGGACTTCTCGTGTTTGATCTCAGCACCTGCATCAACCAAGTCTCGGATAACCCTATGTGCTTCGATGGACACGGCTAAGCCCAGGGGTGTTTCACCGTCAACATTAGTGGTATTCACATGACTGAGGTATCTGCATGGTATTAGAGTGCCTCTTGACCAGTCTTCTGAAGCAACGGCGTCATTCTGAGCCTGCCACATCCTTGAGCGTTCCAGTATCATTAGGGCCAAGTCTTGTGAGTCTTCTCGTAAAGCAAGCTGAAGGGGGGTATTTCCTTCGAGATCCTTAGTATCCAAGTGTGAGCTGTTTGGCTGCAGCAAAATATCCAACAGGCTAGCCGAATCAAACGCTATCGCGAGGTGAAGAATTGAGGCGTCGAGGAACGGCCAGCCTCTAGGCGCATGAGTACTCTCGGGGTCCATTATTCTCCATATCTTTGCGAGCATCTCAAGGCGTTCTTTCCGATTCCATTGGATCAATGTCATCAAGTCAGCCTGGCAAATAGCTCCTTTCTCAACACCCTTAATATGGTCCAGAAGAAATGTCACTCCATATGGCATTAGCGGGAAGGTCGTTGAGAGTTTCTCTCGGGATAGGCCGTTTGCGTGAAGTATTTCGTCCAAGGTCAAATATCTGAGAAAGGATCTCGAGATCTCATAATGGCCAGCTCCAGCTGGGGACCTAGATAGCGACTCATTGGCGAGAAACTTCTGCGCAACAAAATCTGCAGCTGACTGATGTATGAACTGAGCTTCCCGGCTCCATTCTTCACCCCCAGGCTCATATTGCTCATAGACGTCACGATTCTGGAACTCAACGAGACCCCTGGAGATATGCCGGACACGCACCTCGAACTGAGATAAAGAATCCGACCAGTTACAATGAGATCTGAGCTCCGAGACTGTTGTATAAGGCATGTCTTTATCAGTAGTGAGTGCCTCTCGAAGCTCTTGGGCTGATAAGGGTCGTTTGGCAAAGAGAACCCACTGAAACAGCTTGGCCATCTGCTTGTGCTTGTCCTTAGTTACCCCCTGCAATATGATATCGTACAGATCATCGAGGTCTGGTGGGGTCGCCGATATAATATTAAGTAGGTCTTCAGTTCTGGCGCCGGCCATGTCTTCCTCCAGTACCATTTTTGTGATGAGTATAGCCCATTGAAAGCCTCCATGGGCCTTCAACAAGATCTCTTTCTCAATCTGTCGCCGCCTTTCAACGGGCTGAATATCTTCTAGTCGGCCTTCAATGACAAGTCTGATGTCCTGGTCATTTCTCTCTTCCACATAAACCCTCGCCATCGTCTCATGGCCAAGTATCGGAAAATGCCTCGATGAAAAACAGATCCTGACCATGGATCCCTCTCGCTCAGCATTCTCTGCTAGGCTTTTAAGGGATATTAGCAGATTTCTGGCATAATCCCCAGACTCATCAAGTGCATCTATGAATATCACCACCGGCATCTCTTTAGTACCCTCAATCAAGAGTCTGGACAAGAACTTCTCCAGTTCTTTCTCACTCCACTGCCAACCGTGCTTCTGCTCATATGATCCGTACCGCTTCTGTTTATCTTGGAAGACTTCTGTGAGCTCCGCGAGGTACTTTGGAAACGACAAGAGCAACGAATTTAGCAAAGCTCGAAATATACCCAACGGCGTCTGTTGTAATGTTATGCCGCGTCCATGGATGAAAAAGGAAGCGATAACTTCCCCGGACTTCCTGCGGCTCATCGTATCAGCTGCGAACTTCATAAGAGTCGATTTGCCTGTTCCAGGACATCCTTTGATCCAAAAGAGCCCGCGATCTGTTTCCATCCATTTCCGATATTTGTAGTCTTCTAGAAGCCAATCGCAAGTGTCGTTTGCGTAGGAGATCTCGGAGTATCTGTGCTCTTGCTCGGGGAATGATAGCGGTTTTAGGCACTCTACATAGTATTAGTGGCATATAACAACCTTCTACCGTGGCACTTACCCTGCTCGTCATTTGAAAGTTGAACACAAGCTAGAAGACATGTGAGTATATTGAACATTTACCTATCGAAATCTAGCTTCAAACCTTGTGGCCCTTCTCTTATACCTGCAATACCATGCCGTCCTCGTGATACACCAAGTATAGGACGGAGGGCAATCAATACTCTTCGGTACAATTGATCATGGACGCCACTGTATTTGACCATCTCAGAGTGATTGCGGTTGATTGGGTGCTGCTTCTGACAACCGCATGTTGCCGAGAACACTTCTACCAACACTTCGCTGGTGCCAGACATCTCCCATTTGCCATTTATCTAGATGCGGCGTTAGAACAGACAATGCTTCTCGACGTGTAGACGACGCACCCAAATTGCGGTAGGGGATTTTTCCGTTTCATAGAATGACACAACAGAGAGGTTCCTCGCTTTGGATATTTTGCCGAACTCATTTTGTAGGTGCTCGAGAAGCGAAGAGTTCCGGCTGAGAGACTCGAGCAGTGCCCGATTGGGGTTATCCTTTACCAGAGGGACCAGACACTTGACTTCCAAACCTCGATGGGGAACCCCAAAGAAGGCGAAGCCGGAAACAGCGTTCAAGATCGAAAGGTCGGGCCCAAGAGGCTCTTCTTTCAATATTCGGACGGTCTATCCGCCGTTAGCTGATAGGCCTTGTAAAACATTACGAAAAGACTAACCTCTTTGATGACAAGCCCACCCAGGCTATGTCCGATGAATAGTATCGAACGAGGTTGGTTTGAGTCCTCGTAAGCATTAGTTATTGAAGAGATGGGGGTCCACTTGGGTCACATACACGAATGTCCTCAAGGTCAATCTGCAATGTTCTTCCCAGGTCAGTCAAGCTTTGGAAGGATTCACTTCCGACAAGCTGACTACTGTAGCCGTAGGTCAAAATCCTTGCATTTGGGATGTCTGATGGCAGTGCATCTCGAAGCCAAACGAAGCGACCATTCTTTTCCTTGAATGAACCCAGCGCATGTCCTCCAAGGCCACAGACTGCAATCAAGCTTGACAAGAACGTCAGCCAAAATTCGCTGATGAATTGATTTTCGTCAACTTACTCAATCTGGCAATCATTATCGCTTGTGCGATGAAAAGGTGTGAAACCTGTAAAGTGTGTGTCGAAAGCAAGAGACTTGCTGAAATCGATGTCGTTGTCGCCAGATAAGTCGAAACTCCACTCAACTTTTGTGCGATCGGATAAACATTATGGAATTGAAGGAAAACTGAGTGTCGCGATCTTGCTATTTGGATCGGTGGGGGAAACTGCAAGCGAGTAGACGGTGGGACTGGCGTTGGGCTCGAGTGCAAGGGTTTTCTGAATGAGGCTACAGACCTCACTCCTGGTCTGACATTCAAGCGGGATGCCCCGAAGTCTGAAGTTTTTGTGGCTAACTGCTGCCATTGCTGATACTGCCTGCGCTTCGAAGAGACACTTACATGCTCGAACGAGACGGGATGAAAAAGGTGTAAAACTTTGACTCAGAGAGAAATATGAGCAGGGCGTATTAGGACTTCCTTTGCAGCTGAAAAGCTACAATAGGCGCCCAGAATGCCTTGTATGCATGAGTTAGGGGGTGGATGGGACCTCAGCGAATGATAATGCTTATAGTCATGCACCGAGGCGTTGAAAATAGGCCGACTTTGTGTTCAAAACCTTTATAGCTTAATAAAGCTTTATTTAATAAAAACCTAGCCCTAAATATAACTAAATCTCTAATAAGCTTTTCTACCTAATATTACCTGCCAGTTTAACTTTTCCCCTTATTACTTACTACTTAACTTATTATTAAAGATATATAAAGTTAATTCTTTTCTATAAGTTTATTATATTATATATCTAAGCTATATTTTATATTACTT